ACAGTGCCAAAGCTACCAGTACCTGGTTGAAGGACCATGGTATCCCTGTTCTTAATTGGCCAGCAAACTCTCCTGACCTTAACCCCATAGAGAATCTATGGGGTATTGTGAAGAAGAAGATGCAATACACCAGACCCAACAATTCAGAAGAGCTAAAAGCCACTATTAGAGCAACCTGGGCTATCATAACACCTGAGCAGTGCCACAGACTGATCGACTCCATGCCACGCCGCATTGCTGCAGTAATACAGGCCAAAGGAGGCCCAACTAAATACTGAGTGCTGTACATGCTCATACTTTTCATGTTCATACTTTTCAGTTGGCCAACATTTCTATAAATCCTTTGTTTTTATTGGTCTTCAGTAATATTCTAATTTTCTGATATGATGAATTTGAGATTTTCATTTGTTGTCATTTGTAATCATCAAAATTAAACAAAATAAACATCTGAAATATATGAGTTTGTATGTAATGTATGAATATAATATACAAGTTTCACTTTTTAAATGGAATTACTGAAATCAATCTACTTTTTCATGATATTCTAATTTTATGACCAGCACCTGTATAGTCATGTTTTTTGATAATTTTAGAAATGGTATTTCAGTTAGGGCCTAAACAATTAATATGCATTAGTCGATTATTGAAATAATTGTTAACTAGTCAAAGTCCATGCCTCAAACTGATTAAAAAGGTATCAGTCCATCTGTAGAAAGCTATGCAAAAGCAAATCCTGAAATGTAGCAGCGCTATATCCACAAATAGACTCATATAGTCAAACAGAAAATTACTTGATTATTCTGCAAAGGTAAAATCTATACAAGTAATAATATGAGATGTTGGACCAGGAGGTGCCCTTATTTACGCAGTCGGTTTTCCATTTTTCTTCCCTCCTTTTTGCCAAATAAATAGGAATTTTTTCTACATTGGTGTTAAATTTACATCATTTTAAAACGCAATAAAGACCAAATAAGTCCTGTAATGTCTTGGTTCATAAAAGCCTAAAGCAGAATAATGTTATTTTAATAAAAGTCACCAAACTGGCTCCTAGATGTGAGGAAGTTGTCACCCTTAATCGAATTTCGCCAACATTCTTGCTGTCGCTGTGAGTAATTCCCCATTTTGCTTAGAAGGAAGCAGACAGAGTGGGAGTATGTTTGTGTTTGTCTTTGTTCGAGGTAGTTTGTTTGTGTTTCTTTATGGTCATGGTGATGAAGGCTGCATCTTCAGCTCTGTGTATGTGTGTGTGTGGGTAAATGGCCTGTTAGCCATCTGAAAGCAGTTTCCACCCCTCCTCAGATGATGAATCCCTCATATGTTTTTGATGTCGGCCATGAAGGCAGTTTGCGCGTTTAGGCAGCCGCGCCGCGCCCCATTTCCACTTGGCTCATTTATGCTCATAATAAAAACCAGTGCGCGATTGTATACCCAATTTGCCAGGTGGTTATTGCTTTCTAAATTGAATGAGCCGCCCTAAGTGTGATGGTTTAGAAGTTGTGTGCAGCTTTAAGGCACCGTGATGGTTCCACAGATTCCTGCAGAAACACGAGGGGAGCCAAATGACAAAAAGCCATCAGGATGTGCGACAAAGGCTGCATGTTATTCCCATGAGGAGAGAAATTGGGAATTTTCTCCCTTCATCCTGTTTCTCTCTATATGCACAGTGTGTTTCTTTTCACCTTACAATTCGAGTTGGATTCAGAGAACATCTGTGCAGATCAGTCATGTCTGAATGTGTAGGCGCACCACAAAAAACACATTTGAACAAGAATCCTCCACGTGGGCTTGGAGGTTTATTTTATTTTTCTATTTTTTTCTCCTCTTCCCGATTAATGCCCGGACATTCAGTGTAGGCTCAGTTTGTACCTCTTAATTCAAGGGTCAGGTTTAGGCGACCTTAAAACCACTTCCCTCTCACTGTGGCCTTGCAATGTCCTCCTCCTCTTGCTGATGGGAGGGAGGTGGATCCGTGCAGGAAGCCCGAGGTCATTTCACCGTCAAAAAGCAATAAAAATGCACTCCTGCTTTTAATAAAGCAATTATAACTCATTGCAGAGTTCAATTAATTTTTCAGCTTTCAGTTAGGAAAGAGCTCAGAAATGTTTTACTGCAGAAATTGGATGGCATGCTTTCACAGGAGAGCTTTTTTTTATTGGAATTTGATGTATCAGAGAGGCACAATGAAGTGCATGAGTGGGAAGTGAAAAGGATTTTTTACAATTAAAAATGTGGAAAAAGTAAAATCTTGCATACAGTCAAAGCCCCTTTTACTCTGATACCCTTTAGTCCCATTTACACTACCCTTTTAAAACCGTCCCAAGATGGGTCCGAGCATGGTAACCGACATACCTTTTGAGTGTAAATGGCACGCAAAACTGAACTGGACCACACCAGACATAACTGAACTGCACTAAACTGGTACTGGTTCATTTTCCATTCTGGGTTCAGTTCTGGCTCGGTTCTCAGATAACAAAGAGCACATGAGCAGACCGCGTCACCTCCTTACAGCCAGCCTCCGTCATCATGATATTTCAGACATTTATAAAAATACTAGCTTCCCTACCGTGCCACACCATTTCCAGTGATGATTCTGCTTAGCAGTGTGATGAAACTCTGTTGGTGTTTTCTGTGTCTGTTAGCCCTGATTAGACTATCGTTTGTCGTATCCACTTCCCAAAAGCTGGTGTAGGTGCCAGATCTGCTCGGGTCCTGCGCATGCCAATGACGTTACGCTACACGATTGGCTGAACGTTGCCACATTAGTTAATCAGTTCTACTCTGGAGGAGCTGCATAGATCTACAGCTGGGGTTAAGAAATCTGTTGATCAGATACCAAAGGTTAACTACAGAAATGTGTCCTATCATGCTGTAAAAGTTTAGAAAAAACGATCCACTGGACTTGGTTTCCAAAGTTTGAAGACGTTTCGCTCCCTCTCCAGAAAGCTTTCTCAATTCAAATGTCTGGGTCGGCTTTGAATTGAGAAAGCTTCCTGGAGAGGGAGCGAAATGTCTTCAAACCTTGAAAACCAAGTCCAGTGGATCGTTTTTTCTAAACTTTTATAGAATAACTATGACCTGGATGACTGAGAATCTTCATCAGCACGTGTCCTATCAATGGTTAAAAAAAAAAGACATTTTTTTAAAAGCAGAAGGTACACTAACACTGCTTAACACTATAAACACAGCATATCTACAGAGAAACATGGTAGAGGCAGCTCCCTGCTTTTAATATTCATTTCTATGGGAAAAGGAAGCACAAGGATGGATGCAGCTAAATCCAAGAAAATACTGAAAAAAACTGTTTAGGTCAGCAGAACAATGAGACCGCGGTGAAGGACAACAGACCTGAACATATAAACAGAGCTGTATATAGATTTATTTAACATTTATTTTATATATACATCAACACTAAATCATGTCACATACTGTGTGCATCAAACTAGTAAAACCAAACCAAAACACTGCATAAATGCACCATACATATCAATGCTCTATCATATCAGTGCATTTTTTGCACCATGTTTTTTCTCCCACACTGTTTACATTTGATCACTGCTGCACTTTGAGAAATGGAAATGTCATGAATGCTGTACTAAACAAAATTTCGTTTTGTATACACTCTGTGTACACAAAATGACAACGAAAGTTGTCAAAGATCATTCAGGAAATGCAACACAACACATGATTTGTTCACAGCTGGATGAGTGAAAGAGTCTCAGGCACCGTATAATATGAGCAACAACCAGATGTATAGTAGACACTCTAAACAATCTTAGTATTCTACTTACACTGGATCTATGAAGAACAGCATTAAGAATAATAGATTTTTCCAGATATTCATGCAGCTATTAATCAGTCCAGTCAACATATATTTATTAGGAGTTGACTCTAGTTTTGCACTAAAGATGGAGAGGGAATGGGACATTTTTAGTTTTTCATTCCAAATCAGTGATCCTCTGGACAAAATCCTAAAGTTTGTTCATTTTCATTTTCATCTTTTTTCTACTAATTAATGTTTGTGGACAGGGAGGTACATTATTTCAGTATTCTGAAGGTAATTATACGCACTAAGCCTCACAGGAGGGTGGAAAATCATTTTAGTGGGACTGTTATATGTTGTTTATTTTAAAAGGACTGAGAATGTGCTACACCTTATGATGTTATAATTATGTTAAATGGAGATTTATACAAAATGAGGAGTACAGAAAGTGGAACTTAAAAAAACAAACAAACAAAACAATGCAATATATTTACATGGTTAAGTTATAAGATCATCGAAATGTGTTTTTTTATTGATAACAAACCCAAATGAATACCTCATTCAGATATTAAAACATTACATTAAAATATGAAAAGTAACATTAGATCATTAAATGCCCTTTAACTAATTTAAAGACATTAAGAAATAGATAAAGTTAGAAAATGTTAAAAAATTTGCGGTTTTGAAAAATTAAGTTATAATCTCAATTTAAATGTATAGATATATACAGGGTAAAGTCATGGTGTGTTTATAGTTGGTTCTCCAGTCTGTGTTGTTCTGTTTGCTGTCAAAGGCTGAAAGTTTGAGAACCGTTGATTTAGATCCCATTCAAAGTCCAGACCTAGATCAAACTGGCAGACTTGTAAATCAATGTTCAGAGACATTTTCCATTGCATCTGATGGAGCTCGGCTCAGACTGAGGAAGAACGTCCTTCTCTAAGACGGACAAAGCTGGAATGTGCTGCAGAGGAATGACTCAGGAGGGCTGAATAGAAATGCGCGACCACTTCTCTCATTCTTATTGCAACAATTTTACATTCAGGCCCTTATAGTGATGGTTTGTCACATAAAACGCCTGTATAAGAAATTACAACCACAAACGTTCAATATTTCTGCCTGGAATGTGACATAATGTCAAAAGAATGGTGTGTATTTCATTTCTTAGCAGCATGAATTAAACTTCCTAATAAAATATATGGAAGCTGATTTTGTCTTTGTGTGTTTTCTGTCTGTTTTTTAGGGGCTGTGTATCTAGAAGGAGGCTTGGAGGAAGCCCGGAAGCTCTTTGGCAGACTGCTCTTCAACACTGAGGTGACTTTCAGCTCATATTTGGTTTTCATGAAGCCAAAATGCTGCCAAATGTGAAAAAAGGCCTAGGAGTTAATTGGTTCCCCTAGAAATAAATTGTGTAGAATACCTTAGATAGCCACAGTCGTTTCAGGGTGTCATTATCTGCAGTGATACTCTATTTAGTACTCTGAAAGTGAAATAGGAATCAATGTAATAATTAACAAACATATTTGGGGACCCTCAATTCCTTTATTAGATGAAGTTGGAATGGCCGTCGTTATATATGGAGGAAGCTTAAAATCGCCATCCAAGCTGTGAGGTACAGCGGTGGCAGCATCATGCTGCAGGATGAACTGGTGCACATGGCTTTAATAGGACAATGGTGAAATATAAGCCAGGATGTTAAAATGGGTTCTCTAAATAGATAATAACTGTCACTATATGCTGGTGAAGATTCTCGGTCATCCAGGTCACCCCAAAAAAGTTCCAAGTCGAACATGTTTCGCTTCCCATCCAGGAGGCTTTTTCAATTTAAAATGTCAGAATAAAGGGCAGGTTATCCTCCCGCGGCAGTGTCTCGCAGTGAGGTTTTCGCAGATATTTTTGCCACAACTCAAAAGGGGAAAATCAGAAACTAGCTGTTGGTCTAGATACGGCCGAGGCGGTGAGGAAGTGGGTGCAAGTTTGTGCGACAACGGAGGGACCTGAGGGCCAAAAAGAGCGGGGATCCAGGTGGAAAAAGGGTCCCAGCGTTCTCGCACACCTCGCTCTTCTAGCTGGTCCATCTTCACAAGTAATTTTCCACAATGGCGGTCATACAAACAAAACAAGCCGGTAAGGTACCAAACAGGAAATACCCATAGTGTAGAGCGGATGTAGATTTGACCAATCAGAGGCCTCCTGTCTGCGGAACTGTCTGCGGTCACCTACAATTTGGGAGAGGTGCAGCAGAGTGTCTGGGGAAGGGGCGGGGGCATATCTGCGTTCACTCCGACCTAGTTTCTGAGTATAAATCAGCCTTTAGCTTTGAGTTTCAGGCTTTATGGAGTAGACAAAAAGCCAAAAACCAGGGATAAAAACAAAATCTGCCCCTAAGGAATGGGGTTCGTTTGGATTGTTTGTTAGCCTGTAATACCTGATACCTGTCTATGTCTCTGAAAGGGGGTCGTTAGGGGGTGTTGGCCTGGCTGAACAGGCGAGATGTTTTGGACCCCTGTATGGGGGTGGGGGTTGCGATGATGGCAGGAAGGAATCAACTCTATAGCTGTGAGTATATAACCAAATAAGTAAAAAAGCCTTTTAATGAAAACAGAATTAAGGTCTAGAGTGGTTGTCTGTAAGCTCTCATCTCCGTCTCTTAGAAAATCTGTAGCTATAGCAGAGAGTCCTACAAATCTGACCCAGTTATATCCGATCTTTTAGCTGGGAATCGACTCTATTCCAATGAGCTGTTCAGAGAAACTTCAGGAGAATTGCACAATTCCTCAGTATTTCCCAAGTACTGAGGAAAATTAAACATATAAATATTACAGAGTAACAAATTATCACTAATTTATTGTTTGGTAAATATAAATTATTTAGATGATGTAAAACAGGGAAGGTTTTTTATGTGATTTAAAGGGTTTTCTGTATTTTTATGCAGTTTCTCAAATTTTTCTTTTGGGACCTATAGATCCTGAAACTTAGAACATTTCCTGTATTTAAAAAAATAAGAAAAGTGGTTTCTTGTGCAAGCATCAACCAGTTTATGAACGTCTTTATTTTTTGAAGTCTTATAAATGAAAGGTGCACATTTATTCCTGTCTTTGGAGGAAATCTTTGTCTTCCATAAAATAGCCCAAACCCTCTCACTGGAGGGTCTGGCAACAAAGGAATGAACCATCTCACTAAACCTGGACAATCTGGACACAACCTGAGCATTGTTTGGAAAAATAAACCCAATTCTGGAACAGCTATAGTGGTCTCTGAGTCGGACACCTGCTGTTGTTTACATGTGTGTAAAACCAGCAGGCGTGGATAAATGATAAAGGAATGGGAATTTGCATTTATCTTGTCCAGAATCGTTATGAATCAATTAGCGCCATGCAGCTCGTGCCGTACGGCGCTAACTGGCTCGCTTGTGTGCCGCCCACCAACAGAAACCAGCGGATCTCGACCAAAACCAACAAAACATGTGAAAATACCTTTTTATTCACTCGGTATCAGCGATGCTCATCCCTGTAGTGCGGATTACTTTCATCAGAATTCAGATCAATATTTCAGTATTAGGTTTCAGACTGGAGCTGGGTTTTTTTCCCATGTTTTCCCTGAAGTTGTGAACAGATTTGGCCTTGTTTGTCTCTGCTTTTGGCCAAATTTACTGTAAATCTCTTCAGAGTTTGCAGCCAATGCATTGCAGCGCTGAAACGCCCTTGCTTCTGTTTTTAATGTCATCGCACGGCAAGGGGAGTCGGCAAGAAAAACGATTGAGTTGAGGTCTGCTTGTGTTTCGAGAGGTTTCCTTGAACACATTTTTATTTTTATTTAAGAGCCTTGAAGCAGATGTGAAGGGGGGGGGGGTTGAAAGCTTTGGAATTTCTTCATATTACAGTAAAAACACAGCAGAGCACAGAGGAACATACAATCATAAAAATATCTCATGAATAACTGTTGGTAGAGAACGCCTCGTTCATGGTGGGAGGCTTTTGTTTTCTTTGCTGACGGAGGATGCTTCCAGATGGACCAGAAAAAAACCCACAAAAGCTCAGGAGAAGTTAAACAGCAAACCTGGAACCGCCATAAATCTGGTTCTGCTCAGATTTAACAGAGTTGTTCTGTGTTTAATCCAATGTTTGGGGATTTAAAGATTTTTCTTTTTGTTTCTTTTTGAAATGAGATCCTTAGAGAAGGAAGATGTTGCAGTAAAAACTCTTCATTGAGTGTAAATATAGATGATCTTTAATCATATGAATGAGTTTTTGGCCATGATGGAGCTAGAATATGAAAAGTTATCCACACCCATGAATCTCTAACAGTCTTTTCTGCTACATTGAAGTGTTTTAAGGTGTGTCTCTTCCGGTCGCGTTCGTCTAGAGACTGAACTTCTTAATCTTCTTTAATCTTTGTGAAACACCTTCAGCTCAGTCAGACAGATCATTTCCCAAGACCTATAACGGATGATTTAATGTGGACTTTAATTAGGCCCTTCTAACACACACTCATTCTGTATTCTAACCCAGTTCATTTTAGCCCTTTGTTTAGGATAGTTTTCCTGCTGGTAGGTGAACCTCCACATCCTTGTTAGTTTTAGCTCCATTCATCTTCATACCAACCCTGACCAGCTTTTCTGTTCCTGCTGAAGAAAATCTCTACGGCATGATGATGCCACCTAGGACTGCATTTATTTATTTATTTTTAATCAATAAGCTTCAGATTTTGTTTTTGACAAATACAAATAAATGCTTTTTGTAGATTAACGTTCCTGAATAAACCAGAATTTGAATTTAAAGCATAACTGGCATGTTTACATTAACAACTCCTCTTATAAGTCTCTGTTGTACCAACCCAAGTGCTTATGAGATGATTGGGAGGTCTGGCTCTGGCGGGAAAAACACTTTTGCAACTTTCAGTGACTCCAACCCCGGTATCAGCTTGACGGCTCTGTTCTCATGTTCGCGGTTTGACAAACAGCTTTACGGCAGCCCAGTAAAAGCCACTGGCTTTAGTAACCTCGCCCTTTTGCTGTGCGACTCCCAGATTATTGTAGAAAAGTGGTTTATCACCAGGTTCTAGCCAGCAAAAATGCCAAAGAAAACCTTTGTGAGAAGAGGAAAGATTCATCAGACCGGGATAAGACTCTAACCAGGGTGACTTTAGGCAAGACATTTACTCCTCAAATAAAGAAAAAAAAAGGATGGAAACTGATTCCAATCTGGCAATATTATTGGACATTTGTAGGTAACATATTTGCTGATATTTGTTGGTGTTACTGTTGTCAATTCAATGTGGCCTACACAACTTTTAAATCCATCCATCATTCGTCTGTCTGTCCGTCTGTCCATCCATCCATCTACTTCTGTCTCCTTGAACCCCAGTCATCCTCAGCAGATGGCCGCTCACACTGAGCCTGGTTCTGCTGGAGCTTTCTTCCTGTTTAAAGGGATTTTTTCCTCTCCACTGTCACTACAAGCATGCTCAGTGTGAGGGATTAAAGAAGAATCAATAAGTCGATGCAATCAACTTGTTTTCCGTAGAAAACTTTGAATTAATTTGACTGTATGACATCCATCCATCCATCCATCCATCCATCCATCCATCCATCCATCCATCCATCCATCCATCCATCCATCCATCCATCCATCTTCCGCTTATCTGGGGTTTGGTCGTGGGGGTAGCAGCTTCAGTAGGGAGGCCCAGACGTCTCTCTCCCCAGCCACTTGGGCCAGCTCCTTCAGGGGAATACCAAGGCGCTCCCAGGCCAGCCGAGAAACATAGTCCCTCCAGCGTGTCCTGGGCCTCCTCCCGGGGGGACGGGCCTGGAACACCTCACCAGGGAGACGTCCAGGAGGGATCTTAACCAGATGCCCGAGCCACCTCAACTGGCTCCTCTCGATGTGGAGGAGCAGCGGCTCTACTCCGAGTCATCCCCGGATGACTGAGCTCCTCACCCCATCTCTAAGGTAGAGCCCAGACACACTACAGAGAAAACTCATCTCGACCGCTTGTATCCTGGATCTCGTTCTTTCGGTCATGACTCAAAGCTCATGACCATCAATGACTCATAACTGTCTTATCAAAAATTGTCCATCCTGAGCTGCAAATCTGTGCAGCTCCTCCAGTTTCCAAAAGCCTTTCCTGACTTCTCATTAAACAGTTGGTTACTCCTTTGTCCATGTTTAGATGAGCTCCATGACCTTGGGGTGTTTGGAAATTGGACGTTCTTAAAACATCTCCAGGACTTCCAGCCTGACACGTCTGCTGTGATCCTCAGTCTTCATGATGCTGTTTAATGTTCTTTACCAGACCTCTGAGGCATGAAACAG